AGGGAAGGGAAGGGAAGAAAGGGGGTAGGGAGGCGGTTAGAGGGAGACAGAAGGAAAGAAAGACAGAGAGACAGAGAGAGAGGGAGAGAAAGAGAGAGAGAGAGAGAGAGAGAGAGAGAGAGAGAGAGAGAGAGAGAGAGAGAGAGAGAGTGAGTCGGTCGCGAGACGCGCCACGGATGCCTCGCCGTCGAGAATTCCAAGAGGGTGGGGCGAGAGAGCGCTTTTACGCGCTATAATGTGCACGCCAGCGTATTTGCGAGTACGCGAGCGCGCTCGTCTGGTTCATTTTCTACGTATATGTATATATATATATGTGTGTGTATGTATGTGTAGGACGCGTGCAAACGAGACTATATATATGTGTATTTCTCTATGTTTATACGTGTGTACCCTGCGCCCATTCCCCTGTCTCCTTTGTGGTCTCTCTGTGTATTGTGTACACTTAAACACATGTATATAATGTATATCTATGTATGTATGTGTATATGTATAATACGTTTCTCTCTCTCTCTCTCTCTCTCTTTCTCTCTCTCTCTCGGTCTATCCGTGTGCTGGAAAGTGAGCGAGATGAGGTCGTATGTGAGCGAGGCGGGAACCGCTCCTTCTTCTCCGTAGTATGATGCGAGACGCCACGCGAGCGTCACGTTACGCGCGTCGACGACTCTCTACTTTGTGTTTTTTTTCTCATTCTCACTTCCGTTCCCCGTATTCCTCTTATTATTCTCTTTCTTATTCTTATTCGTTTACGTCGTCGTCGTCATCGTCGTCGTCGTCGTCGTCGTCGTCATCGTCGTCGTTGTCGTCGTCGTTGTCGTCGTCGTCGTCGTTGTCGTTGTCGTTGTCATAGTAGTAGTAACAGTAGTGCGTTCGGTGATAAATGATATCAATGAAAAAGAGAGAGAGAGAGTGAGAGAGATGAAAAGTTTACGTTTCTCTTTTCATTGAGACACGTGTCTTCCTTCTTCCTCTTTTTCTTTTTCTTCTCTTTTTTTTTTCTTTTTTTTTTTTTTTTTTTTTTTTTTCTCCCACCCCTATACTCTTCCTTCCATTTCTTCCCTCGTGTACGCACGTGTTTTACGTGTTAGTGAACCTACTTACGTATATAGTGTCGTTGTTTTGGTGATAGTGTTGTTATTGTTGTTGTTGTTATTGTTATTATACTGTACGACTTGCGTGTTCTGCGTAATACCTGCTCGTTTCACCTGCACGAAGTATTTACCTATCGTCCGCAGGCATAACCACTGACTATCACGAGTACCACCATTGCCACACCATCACCACATCATCACCATTACTAGATCTACTATCACCACCATCGCGCTGGGTGGTGATCGAGCGCGGAAGTTCAATCGCCTTATCCTTTTACTCGCTTGTTTCTTTTTTTCTCCCTGAGGGAGAAGGAAAAGAAGAAAAAAAGCAAGAGAGACAGAGAGAAAGAGAGAGAGAGAGAGAGAGAGAAGGAGAGGAATAAAAAGAAAGAAAAGAAAAGAAAAGAGAAAAAAGAAAATAAAATAACAGGAATCGCGCGTGGGTGATGGTGGATGGTGGATTTCTCTCGTGTGGGGGTAGTTCGATTTCAAAGTTTTTTTTTCCTTTTTTTTTTTTTGTTCTTTTTTTTTCGAAACTTGAGCGGTGAAAAGTGTGTGATATTTGTTTGTGCGTATGTATGTGTATGCGTGTACGTGCCTGCAAGTGTATGTGTACTCTTGTGTGTCTGTGTTTGTGTGTATGCGCTCGCGCACTTCTCGCCGTACGCTGTGTGCATTTTCTCCAACCCCTGCTCCCTCCCTCTCTTTTTCTCTCTCTCCCATTCCCTCCGTTCTCCCCTTCCTATGTTTATACGCGTGTATGTGTCGATAGTGCAAAGTTTTGGTGAAATATGTCTAAAGTGATCGGAAAAGTTTCGTCGTCGAGACAACGAGCCCCTTGGATGTTCTCACGAGAAATGTTAGATGCTTCACGAAGACGATTCGACGATCTTTCTTTCTTCTCTTCTTATTCTGATTCATATTCTTCCTCTTCTTCCTCTTCGTCTTCTTCTTCTTCTTCTTCTTCTTCTTCGTCAACTTCAACATCGTCGTCGTGATCGTTGACTCCGTTCCTCGGTATGTCCCCCTTTTAATCATGTTGGGCGTTTACGTACGATATGTGTCGGCTTTTCTTTTTCGTTATTACTAAACGTTCAACTCTTTCTTTTATTCTGAAATTAGTTTGAGTTAAAAACTGAATTTTTTTATCTCTTTGCTTAGCTTCTTTTTTTTTTTTTTTTTTTTTTTTTTTTTTTTTTTTTTTTTTTTTTTTTTTTTTTTGTCCACCTATGCATGGCTGGGATATATGTGTGTATATTTTTTTTTTCTTTTTTTTTTTTTTTTAAACCTCTATCTCGAAATGTCGAAGTTATCCATACCTCGTACAGAATTAATATTTCATATTTGGAATATTTCATTTGAAGTTTTTTTTTCATTCGCTTGGCAATGCTATGAACCAGCAATGGTTCCAAAAAAAAAAAAAAAAAAAAAAAAAAACACAAAGAGAAGGAGAAAAAAGAAGAGAAAAAAATGAGAAATAAAAAAATCAAAATTCCGTGCAATTCTTTAATGATATCGTGTGCCTAAAAAAGTTTGACATGATAATATCGAATAAATCTTTTAGAGGATTATTTGAGAACATTTAGAATGTTTTTTTTTTTTACGATTTCTTTCTTACATACATGCATTGATAAATATTTAGATGCATATATAAAGATACCATGTGTGGATACATATGCGTAGATATATATGTAGATACATGTATAGATACATACGTAGATATATATGTAGATACATATGTAAATATATGTGTAGATACATGAATATGTAGAAGACGTAAAATTGTTCATATTGAAATCATGTCGTATGTTTAAACAGTTTTATCATGGTTTATTTCAAAACGAGGATTATTCGATCGATCATTTTTACGATCTATTATATTACAAAGATTATTTTTTTCTCTCTATTTTTTTTTTTTTTTTTTTTTTTTTTTCCTTTGAAACAAAATAATAAAAGATAAAGAGAAAGTATGTCCAAAAATTAATAATATCAAATTCAAATATGGAAAAATCATATTCTTAAGTATAATATTGTATATCGTAAATACATATGTATATTTCCATTTGATCACGATAAATTGAAGAAATATCGTTGGGGTTGCTTCGTCGATTATAATCGATATATACTTCTTATTTCTTTCTTCTTTTTTTCTTTTTTCTTTTTTTCTCTAAATCGTGACATTCGAACGTTATTCTCTCTCTCTCTCTCTCTCTCTTTCTCTGAGAAAATTAAACGACCAAAAATTATTCTAAAGGAAAAAGAATTCGTCGCTACTATTATCGTTGTCATTGTCATTGTTATTGTTATTGTTATTGTTGTTGTTTATGTTTATGATCGTTCGTTCATCTTTTCCCTTCTTCTTCTTCTTCTTCTTCTTCTTCTTCTTCTTCTTCTTCTTCTTCTTCTTCTTCTTCTTCCTTTCTTCTTCTTCTTCTTCTTCTATACGTCGTATTCTCTAAGCTATCAACGCGACACAAGATACAATTTCATGACTGTCACAATGTTAAATTAATCTGAACGGCTATATAATTCAAAATTCTCATTTTTACTAAGTTACATCCATATCTATCATGCTATTGTTTATAATATTTACTCGTACTTCTTACAAATAAATGACATTAATTAAACAAACTTATTATTAATTGGATAAAATTAAAAAGATCGTTCAGAGATAAGCATACGTTGAGTCCTCTGAAGTGAAGGACGAGTAAAACGCGTGTTTCTATAGGTTTTATTTTATTATTATTTTATTTTTTTTTTTTTTTTTTTTTTTTTGACGAACGCCCACTTATCGTCAAAGAGAGAAAAGACTTTTCCTTTTTCTTTTCCCTTTTTTTTATTTTATTTTATTTTATTTTATTTATTTTTCTTTTTTTTTTTTCCCCCGACATGAAACGATCTTCCTCCTCTCGCAGCAATGCTGCCTTCTCGACAAAAAGAAGAAGAAGAAAAAAAAAAAAGAAAAAGGAAAAGAAAAAAAAAACGTGATGCATTTACGAAAGCTGCTAACACAAGGATAAAGAAAGAGAAAAAGGGATAATTCTGAAACTGATGCTTTCCTACGGAAGTAAGCGATCTTCTTCTCTTGATCTTTTTTATTTCTGTCTCTTGGCATCGTGGCACGTGTTGGTTACTTTTTTTTATCTTCCTTTATTACGCTTTCTTTTTCTTCTTCTTATTTGTTTATTTGTTTTTTTTTTTTTTTTTTTTTATTTTTATTCTCTCTCTGTCCCTCCCTCTCCTCTCTCTCTCTCTCTCTCTCTCTCTCTTTTTTTCTCTACGTTTCTCTATTCGTCTTCCTTCCTTATCTCTTTTTATGTGTCTCTTTTCCACTCGATGTAATTTATACGTTATTGCTTCCGTTTCCACGATTTACGCACACAGTGCACGCATACAGTACACAAATATACAGTATACGACACAAACATCGGGCACATACATAAAAGCTATACGATCGTATAATCTATTCGTAAGAATCGTAAACCGAGCGATAAGTTATCAAGATTCATGGTAAGCCGAAGATTACGCGTGCGTGTAAATGGAGAAAAGAAAAGAAAAAAGGAGAAAGAGAGAGAGAGAGAGAGAGAGAGGGAGAGAAAGAGAGGGAGAAAAAAGAGGTAATAAAAGTTCATAGACGTAACATTTGATTGGTTTTGACGTACATGCGTAAATGCGAAAATAGGCAATGTTCATTTTGAAAAATTGTCTATGACACAATCGATACCTAAATCATTGAAATAAAATATATAATGTATGCATTTGGACCGGAGTTCGACGTAGATCCACTATAAAAAGCACTGGTATATATATATATATATATATATATATATATATATATATATATATATATATAAATGTGTGTCGCAAAAAAAAAAAACACAAAATGTATTTACGTTTCCTTTTTATTTACAGTCACGGACAAACGCGACGAGTTCCATCGCGATATAATAGACGCGTGCAAGGACATGAGACAATAATTAATAATAGTATTGAACGTTTAGTATGTAAATAAAAGTTTAGTCTTCGTTGATACACGGATGCTAGTAGAGAAGAAGGTCTTATTTGATTACGTTACGCCGTAAAACTAGCGTGATTAGTTTTCTTTCTTTCTTTTGTTTTTTTCTTATTTTTTTTTTCTTTTTTTTTTGCCTGTTTCTTTTTTTTGGTTTCTTTTTTCTTAGTGCTTTTTTCTTCGCCCCCCTCTCACCCTTCAAATTGTCCATGTATGCGCTGCGATCGATGCACATACGACGAAACATTTTTTTTTTTTTATACGTAACGATAAATCAATTCTATCGATGAAATAGAAAGGAAAAAAGGATTTATATTATATATATATATAAATATATATATATATATATATCGTCATATCCTGTGTTCCTCGTTAAAAGGATAACGCGAATTTATTTTTTTCTTCGTCATGGATTATCGACTATTGTCCGATACCAACAACGGCAATAACAACAACAACAACAACAACAACAACAACAACAATTATCCTACACATCACCGTGAGTATTATAAGTCTATTTATTTTTTATTTTGTTTGTTTTTTTTATTTATTTATTTATTTATTTATTTATTTCTTTTTTTAATCAAACGAACGAAGGAATGAAAGAAGGAAGGAAGTAAGGAGAGACAATTTGTACGTGTTTATTATATTAATTTTCAAATATGAAAGCGTCTAAGTTGGTTGTAAGATTAGATTATAAAACCGGTACATATGTATATAAATAGATACATATATATATATAACGTTTACGAGATGTTAGAGATTATATATTGCGTGAAAGTCATCGCATATATATATATATATATATATATATATATATATATATATATATTTTTTTTTTATCGTCATTTAATTATCTCGACGAGAAGAAACGTAGAGGAAAGTCTTTTTTTTTTTTTTTTTATACCGAACAGAATTTATTTGTTTCTTGTCTTTTTTTCTTTCTTTCTTTATTTATTTTTTTTTTATTTTTGTTTTTGTTTTGCTTTATTTCATTTAGTTTTATTATACGTTAGAATATAAGGACGACGATGGTAGCCGTCATAAAACGAATCTATATATTTAAGTACATACATACAACGTATTTATCTAATTAGATACTTATTTACTTACTTACTTATTTACTTACTTACTTACTTACTTACTTACATAAATACTTATTGTAGAAAATCGCTTAGTACGATTTTACGATAAACTAAGGAAATATTCGACCGATCGAATCTATAATTTCGTTATAATGGAGATAATTAAAAACAAACGAGAAAATGGTGAGTAGAGGGGGAATGAAGGGTGACAGGAGGGATAGGTAAGGGGATATTATGACAATCGATGCGTGTTAAAATTGCTTATTAAATTAATTAACGATAAACGGAGCTTTCAAAGTAACTTTCAAAGTGACTTCACATTTAAGATGAGCTTTTTTAATGAATAAACAAAAAAAGCTTTTCGCCTTAGGATTATCGAACCTCACGTTTGATAAGATGACTAATATCAGTCAACACAATTCGTCGATACATACATATATACACATACGTATATACACGTATTATACTTTCATACGTACATATATGTAGATATTAATCATGTGGATGTTTGAACGCAATGTTTACGTTAATATTTCTTATCGATAAGAAATGGAAATAACATATTAATTTAAGCAAAATGAAATTAATTACGATCGTAGTAACATTCAAATTGCGTAAGAGAATATTCGTTTCATTAAAATATTATCGCTGACGTGGTACTTAACACAACATGTAGGTACGTCATCGAAGTGAGTATTAAAATGATAACACGTGTGACAAGGACGGAGCAAGTTCTTTTTTCTTCTCTCTCTCTCTCTCTCTCTCTCTCTCTCTCTCTCTCTCTTTTTTCTTTTTCTTTTTCTCTACTTCTTTCATTTTTACGTCCATCGATCTTCTTGCTTCACGACCATATTTTTTTTTTTACTCTCCTGCGTCATGTTATCGTTTTCTTTCTTATTATTGTTATTATTATTATTATTTTTTTTTTCTTTCTTTCTTTCCTTTATTTCTTTTCTCTTCTCTTCTTCCCTATTCTTTTTCTTTTTCTTCTCTTTTCCTCTTTTTTCTCATCCTCTTTTCGTCCTCCTTTCACTTCTTCGATTCTTGCTCCATTTATTTTTCTTTCCCCTCTTTCTTTTTTCCTTGTTTTATTCTTTCTTTTCTTTCTTCTCTTTCTTCTCTTACATTCTTTTTCCTTTAATCTCGAAAAATACAGAAAAAAATGTTCGAGAACGGTGACGCACCACCGTAAGAATTGCTGGCACGAGTGGATCGCGACACTGAAGAGAACGCTTGATCTTCTTCTTCTTCTTCTTCTTCTTCTTCTTCTTCTTCTTCTTCTTCTTCTTCTTCTTTATCTTCTTCTTCCTCTTTTTCTTGTTTGTGCAAAGGATAAGAGAGAGGGAGAGAAAGGGATGGATGGATGGATGGATAGATGGATGGATGGATGGATGGATGGATGGATGGATGGATGGATGGATCGCCATTTTGACTGCACTCAATAATGTTATAATAATAATAATAATAATAATAATAATAATAATAATAATAATAATAATAATAATAATAATAATAATAATAATAATAATAATAAAAGAAGGAGAAAAATAAGGAAAGAGAGTATAGAGAGAAAGAGACAGAGGAGAGGAGAGGAGAGGGCAAGAAAGAGAGAGAGAGAGAGAGAGAGAGACACTGTCGTTTCTCTGTTGACGATCAAAGACAAGTCGGAATCGTCGAAGAATCGACGGGACATTTGATTGCTCGACCCCGAAATTCTTTACGGCGATTCGGACGATCGATCGTTTCTTCGGTCTCGCGTTTATTTACGATTCCACGAAGAAAGAAAGAAAAAAGAAAAAAAAAAGAAAAAAAAAAGAATGTGTGTGTGTGTGTGTGTGTGTGTGTTGAGAGAGAGAGAGAGACATACAACACACACATATATATATATATATACATAAATATATAATGCATACATACATATATGTACGTATGTATGTATATATGTATATGTAGATAGATAGATAGACAGATAGAATAAGAAGAAGAAAGAGAGAGAAAGATATAAATAGAAATAGAGATAGATAGAAATAGAGATAGAGAAAGATATAGGGCATGTTAGAAAAAGGAATATACATATACATACATATATATATATATATATATATATATATATATATATATATCGTATGGTCGTTGCGTAAAGAACTCCTTGGGATATATTCGATGGTGGTCCTTGAGCGCTTTCGCAACGATGCGATTTTGATTTTACTAGAAACCGGTCGCGCTTTCTACCTTCGTCACGAAATAATAATAATAATAATAATAATAATAATATATTCTTTTTTCCTCTTTGATCTCATTCGTTCCTCGAAAGAATAAGAATTAGAAAGAATAGAGACGTATCGCTGAGAGGGACGGGGGGATAGTTCGTAAAATTTATCAACTTTGAGATAGGTTATTAAAATTTTACGAATGTCGTTATGTATGTATGCGTGCGTACAAGATAAATATAGGTAATCTTATCATTTTTTTTTTTTTTTTTTTTTTTTTTTTTTACGAATAAGATTTAAAATTACATTTTTAAAATGTACAGTAATTCGTACTTCAATCTTTTTTACTCCGCACGACTTTTATATCACACGTTGAAATAAATTTTGCTTTATTAAAGGGCGTCGGATATATAAAAATCATTATCTTGCTTCTCTTTTGTTATAATGAATGAATGAATGAATGAATGAATGAATGAATTAATTAATTAATTAATTAATGAATGAATGAATGAATGAATGAATAGATACATAAAAATCGAACGAGTTTAATAATATGTATTAATTTCATTTCTCTAAACATCATTTGTACGTGTACGTGTACGTGTACGTGTACGTGTGTGTATATTTGTGAAATGTTTGTATATGAGCAAGCGCTAATGGCGATTTCAATGCTTGAAGGCAAGACTGTTCAACTTTCGAAATTCTAAGCGTCGCTTAAAACATTGACGTTTACTTTTTTTATCTTTTTCCTTTTTTTTTTTTCTTTTTTCTTTTTTCTTTTTTGTACTCCCTTTTTCTTTCTTTCTTTATTTCTTTCAATCATACTGTCGACGTTTTTTCTTCTTACCCTTAACTTGCTAAATTTATTTCTTTAGCTTTTTACATTTAATAAAAGGTAGGGGAGGGATGAGATCGGCGTAATAGAGGTAAGTAAGGTGAAACGGGGTGGGGGAGGCGTAAAGAGGCATGCTTCAAAGACGAGAATTTGTTGTCATCGTCGTTGTCGTTGTCGTCGTCGTTGTCGTTGTCGTTGTCGTTGTCGTCGTTGTCGTCTACGTCATCGTGACATCGTGACATCGTGAAATCGTTTGACTTTAATAAATCATTCGAAATGAGAAGGAAAGGAGCACGGAACCGTACGATGAGATGTACCGAATGGCACAACGCGGTCGCTCGCACGCTTTCTCTTCATTCGCTAGAAACGCAAATATTCCCGAATTCGAGAGCGGCCAAACTTGCTTTACCCAAATCGAATGACGAGAGAGAGAGAGAGAGAGAGAGAGAGAGAGAGAGAGAGAGAGAGAGACAAAGAGCCCACGTCAGTGAATTTCGATGTTCTTTCTCTCTCTTTCTCTATCTTTCTCTCTTTCTCTTTGTGGCCGATTAAATTTAGAGACCTCAGCGAGGAGGCTACTAGACTTGGTGTGGTGTTGCTCGCTTTAAATCATTCCTATCATGTTTGAGAATCGTGGAACTTTGTCTTTTCGACTTTAACGTTCGAGAACGTTCACGTTTGAAAAGTGAATTAGAGAATATTCCACCGATATTGTTGAATACGATAAGACGAAATTGATAATTAAATATTAGAAAAAAAATGAAAAATAAAATGAATGAATGAATAAATAAATAAATGAATAAACAACAAATTTTTATTCAAAAGAAATATATATATATATATATATATACATCATATCATACGATTATTATATTTATATAGAAAAAAACATATATATATATATATATATATATATATATGTATGTGTGTATGTGTGTGTATTTATTTTGAATAAGGATTTGTTGTTTATTTATTTATTTACTGTTTCATTCATTTCATTTTTCTTTTCTTTTCTTTTCTTTTTTTTTCACTTCGCACACTTCGCACATACGCCTATAAATCGATTGATGATATAATAGTCTCGCGAACGATTCTCTGACGCACGATAGAGGTGAAGTGTGCTTGGAATTTAGAACAATGTCGTGATCGATTAGGATTCCGGAAGAATTGTGACCAACCAGGCCGTAGTCTTCGTCATTGTTATTAGCATATCTTTCTAAAAATTCTAATATAGATAAAAATAGATCGAAATGATCGAAGAATTTAATTATTACGATATATAAAATAATAAAAAAGCGCCATTGATTTTGTTTCAAGAAGATTTATTATTTAACAATGGCTGATCATCGTGATTTTTTATTTATTCGTT